CTGCCCATTTCTTATTTCTTTATTTGTGTATAATAATAATAATAATAATAATAATAATAATAATAATAATAATAATAATGGTAAAGTCTAGTCATGGCCAACTCTGGGAGGTGGTGCTCATCTTCATTTCTAAACCAAAGAGCTGGCATTGTCTGTGGACACCTCCAAGACCATGTGGCCAGCATGACTTCATGCAGCGCTGTTGCCTTCCTGCAGAAGCAGTACCTATTGAATTACTCACATTTGCATGTTTTTGAACTGCTAGGTTGACAGAAGCTTGACCTAACAGCAGGAGCTCATCTTGCGCCCCAGATTTGAACCACCAACTTTTTGGTCAGCAAGTCCGCTGTTTAACCTGTTGTGCCACCAGGGGGGGCGTTTAATAATAATAATAATAATAATAATAATAATCTTTATTTCAGACCACACTCTCTCCCCAAAGGGACTCAGGGCAGTTTACGGACACACATGCCTCAAGTGAATACAAAGACATCAAAATAATACCAGATAATGCACAGAAACAACAGTAAACTTACTACAAAGAATTAAGCATCTAGATGAAAATAATTTTAAAAATCCAATAAGACATAGTAAACTAAAACATTAGTAAAACATCATAACATATATCCTAAAAGCAATTATGATACAATTACATTAAATGGCTAACACCAGTATTCATTTAAGATGTATCATAAAATCCAAGTGAATTAGCCAGCACACCAGTGGGTTAAAATGTGCTAATCCTCCTCCTCTCCAAATGCTAAAGTGCATAAGTAGTGAGCATGGTCACTCTTGGTACTGGCTTCAACATCTCTTTCCAAGGGTTCCTTCGAATTCTAGTCTTCCTGCACTGCAATTTGGTCCACAAATTGGCCAGTTTTGAGCTATAGACCTCCCTAGTCTGTTCCTTACATGTTCCTGCAAGAGAGGAACAACTGCTTTCCAGGAGGAATCCTGCCCACTCTGAACCTCTACCTCCAGACGGCCAAGCATAATCATACCATTTTAATAATGTGTATAAACATAAAGTCCAACCTCTCTAGGCCTAGATTGCATGATCACTTCCAGAAACCAACTGAGATATCCATCGTGGCATCCAGGCATGTCTAGACTGGATGTGATGCACAGATACATGTTGGATTCAAATGTTTTGCCCATGGGGATGGGTGCATGGATGGCTGGATATATGCCCACTGGCCAAATAAATGTGATGCAATCTGACATATAAGGAGATGGTGAGAGGAGACTATTGTCCAAACCAGGCCACAATTTGTAAAATCCAAGAAAGATTAAATCCTAATAAATACTGAACCTTGTTGCAAAGCAACTTGATGAAAGGCTGCAAGATAAATGTGTTTGTTTAAACTCTCCGGGTCCTGTCCAACCTTAGTAAATACTTTTGCCTTTAGAAAATCTCTAATAGAGAGATTGGATAGATTAGCAGAGTGGGCTGCTTGCCCATCATCACGTCTTCTTGGGGCTGAGATATGTGATAAATATGCCTAGGTTCACATCCTCAGCAGATAGAGATCAGCAAAGTTTCATCCATTTCAACAGACACATACCGCACCCAATGAAGGTTAGTTCATGGACAGAGGGGTTATTCATAAGATCAGAGGTAGGCAAGTCAGGGTTTTGCTTTGCTCCTTTTAATCTCGAAGCCAATCACCATGAGGCGGAGGGGATTTGCCCCTTTCATTCTGTGGGCTGCCTTCATTCATGAAGCAACCTGCACCTGCAAGAATCCCCCCCTCCCATACTTTGGTGTGTAAAGTAAAGTCAAGTATAAGTACTGTATTTCTTTGATTCTAAAATACACATTTCCCCCATATAAATATTTCCAATAAGTTGTGTGTGTGTGTTAGAATTGCAAATATATACAGAGAGGGAGGAAGAGCAGGAGAGAGCTTTTTCCTGCTGGTTCTACTGAAATTGATGGTGTCTTACAATCAAACAGTTATAGTATATGATTGTATACGTCAGGAAAAGACAGTTGGCAAATGTTATTTATTAAGCTAACATTACTTTTTATGTCCAGTATTTTTTTGCTTTACAGTTATGTGTTTTTATTTTTAAAAACTCCCAAAATGCCTCAGTAATCCTCAACATTGTCATTCCACTGCCATTGCTGTTTTGAATTGTTGTGCAAATTGTGGTGTGCAGTTCCCTAAGATCTAGAGTGCAATTTTCTGCCCTGGAGACACTTTGGGGTGGGGGGTTTGCTACACAGGTATGCAAATGCCCACCGACTCCAAATAGGAGTCCACTTCTGGTTTTGAAGAAAAAAAATGAAGTTAGTCAGGGAAAGTCTCATTTTCTGATGTTCCACTGTGTAGGGAAGCTGCAACCTATTTCAATGTAAATTGCCATTTATGAATCATAGAGTTGGAAGAGTCCTCAGGGGCATCCAGTTCAACCCCCTGCCAAGAAGCAGAAAAAATCTCATTCAAACCACCCCTGAAAGATAGCCATCCAGCCTCTGCTTAAAAGCCTCCAAAGAAGGCATCAAGAGGAGACAATGCATCCAGTTTTTGCCAGAAAAGAGACTTCAGGCCACAAAGACAGCCTTGTTTGGAGCTGGAGGAAGGAGGGCGGACCAATGTAATCCGAAGGCTACACTGTGTGCACTTCTGGAGTAAATGCTACTTGTTAGACTAACCCCTCTCCAACAAAAAATATATGGTATTTATTCCATTATTTTACAAAGTGATTACATCTGTTTGTTAAACCTAAATTGACAGATTATTGTATATCCAAACACAAATGAAAGATTTCTCAATGGCAAGGCCACCACACATACCTGGGATGGGTGGGATAAGTAGTTGAGGCACTGCTTTACCTAAATGACTCCGGCCCTGTTTACCTCTCCGAACGTATTCTCCCCTACGAACCATCAAGATTATTAAGATCATCTGGAGAGGCCCTGCTCTCGGTCCCACCGGCCTCGCAAGCGCGGCTGGTGGGGACGAGGGACAGGGCCTTCTCGGTGGTGGCCCCGCGACTTTGGAACTCTCTCCCTCTGCAGGCCAGAACCGCCCCATCCATCCTAACATTTAGGAAATGGGTGAAGACGTGGAGTCAGGCCTTCGATAAATGAGACAACACCATAGGACCCTGGATGGAAGTTGATGTAGATCCATCTTAATAGGACGACTGACCACTGTAGTTTTATATATAGTGTTTTTAAAGTTGTTTTTGTAATTGTGATATATGATATTTTAATGAGTGTATATGTTTTTATGGCTGAGTCCCTCAATGAGGTTGAAAAGCTCGGTATAGAAAACTGTGAAATAAATAAATAAATAAATAAATAAATAGGGCCCTGCTGGCTCATAGAGTAGGGTTACCATTTATCCTTCTTCCCTCAACATGTCCTCTTTTTCCATCTGGGCAGATGTTTAATATCTTGCTTGCCAACACTGCCTGCTCATCCCCTTCTCACCGTCTCCATTGAAGTGAAGAGACAGAGGCCAGGCCAGCCAAGTGGCCAGAGAAAGAATTGTGGGGAGAGGAGGGAGTCAGACCCAGAAGAGGAAGAGGCGTTAGCTGAGTGAGGCAGCTTAGGGAACGTCTGCCAGCATGGTGTGATGGAAGAGGGTGGCTTCTTGGTGAGGCAAAGAGGAAGAGGTGGGAAAGGGAGAAAGGGATGGAAAAATAATTGTCATTCAAATACTATGCAGATTAGGGATATTTCTAGAAGCAATGATCTTTGTAGTGGGGGTGTTAAAGAAAGTTATCATAATAATAAGTGGTTTTAAGTAGTCGCTTGGTAAATATGTTTCTTTTTAGCTTTTCAAAATATGGAAAGCCTATCACAGAGTAGAGGGAGAGACAGCATTTGTTTTGCTACTTTTAAAAGTACTTTCCTCCACAAAACCAAACTAGGCTAGATGAAGGTGTAGCTTCAAACCTACATGGGTGCATGTCGGAGAACAAGTAGGACCAAGGTCCTGTAAATTCAAGGCCTTTCCTGACAATTCTCATGCTACTTTTCCTGTCCCCTTCACACATCTGTGGAATATTGTTAAAAAAAAAAAAAAGCTTTCTCCTGCTGCATAGAGAGATAAAGTTCCTAGATCTTTGGTAAAGCTGAAGTCAGTAGAGAAGAGAATGTCATTGTAAATGGATAGACTCAATTAAGGAAGCTTATTTCCAATTTTAACTTTACATTTGGCCTTCCCTTTGTTTTTAATTGTGTGTTATTTTATTGATAATGTTGTTTATTTTATTGTCTATGTTTTTAATTGCTGTATTGTTGTTTATTGCTTGTATTGTTGTTGTTGGGCTCGGCCTCATGTAAGCCACACCGAGTCCCTTGGGGAGATGGTAGCGGGGTACAAATAATGTTAATAAATAATAATAAATAAATAAGCTACAATCCTGAGTTTGAAAGTCCTGAGCACTTTATAATGGATTCTTCTCTTGGAGGTCTCTTATGCCTTGAAGCCAATTTGACAGTCCATAACAATAATAAGCAAGAAAGGTCTCTGCACATGGACATCCCTTTCTGACTATGGAGAGGGCCCACTGAAGCAGGCTAGAAGCACTCAGCTGTCCTCGCTCGTAGCATAGGATTGCTCCCTTTTGGTAGTTTCGTGTAAAATTTCTCAGAAACCTTGAAGTGGACAACAAAGCAAAATAGGGCAAGTATAGTGTCAAGCATATTTCCTAATTTATTTTAATGGTATTTTATGATCTTTCAAGTGCACTATCTGCCAAATGACTTGGTTCCTTGAAGCCTCTGGAACAGTTGATCTCACTACTGCAAAGATGATAATCATTTGTTAATCAAAAGCAGAAGTAAAATGAGAAGGTGCGTTATCAACCAGCCAAAAACTAGCTGACAGTGGGAAACTGCATCTGTGTTGGTTTTTAGGTTGTGTTGATTTCTCAATCTTTTATCTCTTTGTTTATTATTCAGACTTTTCAACCTAAGAACAACCAGTGTATAATATGCATCACATTATCACTGAACCAACTATATTTCTTCTGTCTTTCAGATTCAGGTCAAAAGGACCAGCAATGTTGCAGTTGGGAAGGAACAAATCCTGCACTGCAAGCAATCAAAGTGAGGAAAGATACTTTCAACAATGAACCTGAAATGGCTTTGCCCAGTTTCACCAGCAAGAGTCCATAGTCTACTAGGAGAGTTGCCAAAATAAAGAAGTATATACAGCAAGGGGGGAAATATGCTGAAGCCCAAAGTGAGGAAAGATACTTTCAACAATGAACCTGAAATGGCTTTGCCCAGTTTCACCAGCAAAATAAAGAAGTATATACAACAAAGGCACTTGATGCTGTTTCCTACATCTTGAGCATCTTCTGCATGAAGGTTGTTAGAACATTCCGAACTGATGATGCACTCTGGCATCCATCTTATGCATTCTCCTTAATTAACACCAGCATAAATATGGGTTACTGTTGGTCGATATGGATGATAAATAGCTCTGTGCTTTTCTTCCATTTGTGGTGCATTGATCTCTCTGTGTTTCTGATGTAACAAAAACTTACCCTCCAGGTTTGAGAAGGTAGAGAGAACATATTTTCTGTTTGCTCTGTGTGGCAGGATCTTCAAGGCTCCTGGCCACCAAAATCCCAGAGGTCAATATGAATTGGTCTTAATTCTCAAAGCACCTCATAGATTTCAGTTGATGTCATACATTTTTATTGTATCAAGGTAGGCCAGCATATTGCGAGAAAAGTACAGGATCTGTCCATGCTTGATAGGAAGTATCCTGTTTTGAAGGCAACATCCATATGTTTACCTGTGATAACAGCCTGAGGTCTCTTTCCTATTTCATTTGTAGCAGTAGAAGTAGTGAGAAGAAGTCTAGTCTCAGTAAAAAAAATGGTTTCAGTAGCAATTTCACTGTGAACTGATTAAAAAATAGTAAATTAGGATGTTTATAGAGACTCAGGGTGTCCAAAAAATGCTTAGCATTGTCTTGTTCAAAACTAGTTGTCAGTATCCTCATCCCCATATTTGCAGTTTGATGAATCTGTGGTTGAAAGAGCATATCTTGTTCATGTCACCTGCAAAGACAATATCCAAAGTGTTTGGGGTTTTTTTAAAAAACTATTTTACGGTGGCATTCAGATGCAAAGATACCTATTCTTCCAAGAGGTCAACTAGGCTAGCTGAATGCAAGGCATGTTTGGCTCATCAAACATGTTGGGAAGAGAGCCAGGATTAGACTTTATGGAACACACTATCTTTTGATAAGCAAATTAGGAAATTATGCCACCACCTTCTCTAATATATTGTTATACCAAAGAATTAGGCTTGAAAGTCCTCTTACAGACCATCTGTCTGGTGGAGTGATACAAGTATGAATGCACGGTAAACTTTTTTTTCCAAATACAAACATTTCTGGAAGGCAAAACAATCATCTTGAGTGAAAAGCTCTCCACTGGCGTTTGATAGTTTTTCCACTCCCCGGTGCCCCTTCCATTGAAATGAACAGAATGTGTTTTCATCCAAAGGGTGGGAGGGCTTTACACACCATCTACTGCACATAAATCAGTAAGCAAAGAGACTCGATGTCTTTGGAAGTATCATTTGGATCCACAACCATTTTGCTTTTATTACAGATGCAGAAGGAATCATGTCCGTCCAGGAGACTCTTTTCAGAAACACACACCCACGCTTGCTCTCTTTTCCAGACACAAAGGAGTTGTTGCCACAGCTACGCATAGCACTATGTTGCAATGAGCTACTTTCTTTTCTTTTTTTAAACCCAAATTAAGTTAGATGGGGGAAGTGTTCCCTACCTTCTGTGTTACCTGTTGGGTAATTTAAAATGAAAAGGAGAATTTCTCATTCGATGGCATGGCCTACCTCTTTTACCTCTAACTGGATAGAGCAGGGCTTCCATTTGATCTGGATAATCGTTTGATATTTGGGGAATGTTTCCAAAGGCACAGAAGTCCTTCCCTTCCTTCCCCCTCCCTTGGGATCACATGTCTAGTTTCAGGACCTTTCAGCCACACAATAGACTGAATGGCAAAGCAAATTCCACAGAGGGACACTTGCGTTTCCAGGGAACCAACATGGCCTGGATAAGCCAAAAATCTTCAGGGGATGAAAGGGAGGGAGGGAGACAGAAAATGTGTGCACAGCATATTTGTGTGTGTGTTTGGGAAGCGGGGAGGTGTTTTGAAACGTCAAATGTGGCATTTGTTTAACCAGGTCCTCTTGTCAACAACAGTATAATTTTGCAAGGACAAAACTCTTAAATGTTTTTCTCAATCATTTTCTCTGGAGATATATTACCTAAGCCACGAGTGTATTTAATAAAGTTTTATACCTTCTCTCCCTGCCAGTGTAAATGAAGTATTGGGATTTAAAGATGGAGAAATTGAGTGAGAGTCTTGAAAGCACACAGAGTTGTTAGCAGGTTTTTGGCAGCAACAGTCAAAGAACAGTTTTCTCTATCCCAAGCCCCCCCCCCCCCCTCCTGACACACACTTTCTTATTCCTTGCCTATGATTCTAGGCAACGTCCAGCAGCTATTTTCAAACTTCAAAGCTGCCTCCACTGCTCAAGCCTTTTGGGCTATTAACACTTGATTTCTTGTTGCTGTGTCATGTGCTTTATAAATCTTGCATAATACCTGCTCCTATTACTACATTTTTCTCCATAATGTGTATGTGGGACATATGGAAGTGGAGATCACAGCATGAAGCTTCAGGGAAAGGTATGGCTATTCTCAGAGGTTGTGTTATTGTGTGCCTTCAAGTCAGACTTATGGGGTTTTCTTGGCATGCTGTCTTGGTGGGGGGGGGTGCCTTTACTTCCCCCTGAGGCTTAAAAAAGCATGACTTTCCCATGAGTGTCCATGATTGAGCAAGGATTTGAATCCTAGTTTCCAGTGTCCTAGTGCAATGTACATAAGCACAAAGCCTCCCTATCTTCAGAGGTAATTGCCACTACTACAAACAATAGGTTAAGAAAAGGTGTGGGCATTCTGTCACTGATTTCTAGAAGCCGGCACTCTGTTGAGCTTTTTTGCTATCTTTTTTTAGAATCATAGAAGCACTGAGTTCGAAGACACCTTGTGGGCCATCCAGTCCAACCCCTTGCCACAAAGCAGGGAAATTGCATTGAAAGCACCCCCTGACAGATGGTCATCCAGCCTCTGCTTAAAAATCTCCAAAAAGGAGCCTCCGCTACACTCCAGGACAGACAGTTCCACTGCTGAACAGCTCTCACACTTAGGAAGTTCTTCCTCATGTTCAGGTGGAATCTCCTTTCCTGTAGTTTGAAGCTGTTGTCCTGTGCCCTAGTCTCATGGGCAGGAGAAAACAAGCTTGCTCCCTCCTCCATATGACTTCCCCTTACATTTTTATACATGGCAATCATGTCTCCTCTCAGCCTTCCCTTCTGCAGGCTAAACATGCCTAGATCTCATAGGGTTTGTTCTCCAGATCCTTGATTGTTTTAGTCATCCTCCTCTGGACACATTCTTTTTTCTTTTTCTTTTCTTTTTTCTTATTTTAATAGTGGAAGCCAGCACCCTCTTTCTCTCTTTCTTTTTACTTAACCCCCATAGGTGGGCAGGTAGGTAGGTAGGTAGATATCCTTCTGGTGTTGTAGAATCAGCTCTATACATGATTCAATCCTAAGGTAAGAGGATACAGCCAATGCCAGGCATGTAGCCGGGGGGGGGGGGGGCTTGAGGGGCTTCAGCCCCCCCCCCGAAATTCTCATGGTGGTTCGTGAAAAGGCCTTACTGGTGCGTTATTTAAACTGTTATGTTTATTCATATCATGATCTGATCACCATACTCAATATATCCCATATGCATGGGGGTATTGGGGTAATGATACAAAAGGTTTGCTAGGCTAGACCCTCTTTCACTCAGACTCAGCCCCCCCCCCCGAAACTCAGCCCCCCGAAACCCCTCCTGAAAAGATTGTAGCCCCCCCCCTCCCGAAACGAAATCCTGGCTACGGGCCTGGCCAATGCTATCCTTTTTTGATAACATCAAATTAATACTTGAAAAATGAAGCCATGTTTAAAGAGCAAACTGTAATTCTGACAATAATTTAAGACCTACAAACAGCAAAAAAATTGGTCAAGTACATCTTAACTAGCAGTCAGATTGGACTCTGTCTTTCTGATCTTGAGGCCCAAGAATTTGGGGGCCTTCCTACAAGAAATGACGGAAGTGCATCTTTCTCAGATACATTTTTACCATGGGCAGACATTGGAAGGAAACATTATTCCTACAATAGATACATTTCATTTTTAGGCAACTGTACTGAAGATGATCCAGGTGCAAAGTGATCTATGGCAGATGCAAGTAATGTGAGATCCAGTACTAATACATAAAAAGTCTGCTGCTGAGAGAAAATAAACAGCAAAGAAGTGAAATTGAGTGCAAGAAGGAGGGACAGGGCTTCATGTTGGCCTTGGTGTCCTTCCTATCCAGTGAGTTTATTTTCGTTCAACATTGCTTGAACTTTCCTTTTGAGACCTTGTAATTGCAGGGGGCCCTGGGAGTGGAAGGAGAAATCCTGTTCCATATTTCACATACTGAAAAGTTGTGGAAAGCACTTAGCCTATTGAAATTTGGGAAATACTGGAAATGAAGGAGGAAGTCTATTGGACACCAATTCAAAACTATTCTTGAATTGGTGTAATTTCCATACATACATCTAGGTCAGTATAGAATTAGTCAATCCATGAGATATAGACATTACAAATAGGAAAGGCAGTCAAGTAAATCATGGCCTAAACCCAGTTGGTACTTCCAGATGCTAGAGTGTAAGCTTTGCTTACCTTCAGTGACATTTAATAAACTATTACTATGTCATGACTATGGTCCTTCCTTCAAAATCAGAAGGCAACAGATCAGGGTCTTCTCTAGTTGTGTTAGTAAAGCCAATGATAGTTTTTTGGGGGGGGGGGAGAGAAGAAAGTAGCCCACGAATGGCATGTTTGTTTCTTCATTCATAAAGGACTTGTTCCATTCCAATTGTACCACAACATTTTAAAACCTGAACCCAAATGAAGCAACTTTGAGAGACAAGGGCACATTAGTTCCCTAGAATATTTTGGAGGTTTTGCAGTTCAAGCGTCATACTTGATTCGTTTATAAGTCTGATTGGTAAGTTTCTGTGGTGCCTGGGAATGCATCTGCACAAGTAAAGCTAGACTTCCAACAGCCTGGAGATTTTTTTTGGACATGTTGACAGGCCTTTAGGAAGCATTTTTAAATAAAAGGTTTTTAACAATGTGCTTTACATAGTTTTATTATTATTATTAGCATTTTTGTGTTTTTAAACCTATACTGCATTTGGCTTAATATTATAAATGACATGGTGCCTGATTATTAAGGGAAAAGCCAGGACATAAGTAAATTAATTATGATGGTGGTGGTGGTGGTGATGGCACTGAGAAAATAATTCCAAAACACCTTCATGGTTCTTTTGCCCAGTAATTAATAACAAGATTATGTTTTCCAACAGAGCAATGAGCTATCTTTTGTGATGTTGGAACCCTGCAGTTATAGGAACATTTCCAAATAATAATTTTAGCCATTAATTAGCAGCAAAAATTTAAAAGAAAGTAAAGTTCCTGTGTCAAATAATCCAAGGTCAGTACAGCAACAGTAGGGTTCAGATTCACACACACAAATCAAATATTGGTGTATATGGCTTTTAGGTTCCTGCTCCAAGGGATTTGAAAGCAATAATTAAAAACTACTGAAAAATTACTAGGGAAGCTGCTGACTGACATTCTATGTTACTTTGCAAGAATGATCCCAGGTGCGAGGGGAAATTGCCTCAGGGACTCTGTTCTGTTCATCACAATGAAGATTGTTCTGGGAAGGTGATGGGAAGCTGCTTCCAAATGATAGGATAACAGACCCCCCCCCCCCCCAATCCATTGCTGTAGGTGCTTCTCAGTAAATAGGGATTGGGGGTGTTGAGCCAAAATTCACTGCATGGCTATGTAATTACAGTGGTTATTCATTTGTAACTGCACAATAAAATTCCATCAGTGTTTTCCAAACAACAGGGAATAGATCACCTTGTACATTTTTAGTATCAGCCATACTTGCATCTTTTCTGGCCGGATTGTAAATTAAAAATCTGTGTCTGTCTTCACCTGATGAATGTGTTCTTCAATCTGGAATATTGGGCTGTTAGCATAATGCTTGCCAGGCACGGGCCTTCCATATCTGCGGTCCTAGTCCAAATTTGACCTCACTAAGAGAGATTTTTTGATAGATTGGACCTGAAAAAAGATCCCTATTGTGTATTTGTGCATAAATTGCTTAGAAAAACAATTCTTTAGAGATCATAAAAAGAATGAAGCTTGTCCATCCCATTTTTACATTACCTTGAGCAAAGAGCCTATATTTGTTTCTTCCCACTTCAAATGAGTTCTGAAAAGGTTTTATGAGATGGTGGGAAACAAGCTAGACTTGTTTAGCCTAGTAAAAAGGAAATTGTGAGGTGAGAGAGTGATCTTTTGCAAATAGATTAAGAGTTAATACAGTAGACAGAATGAGTTGTTTAAGCTAAAGGAAATATGTATACTGAATAAAATACTTTCCCATTAGAAAGTTATAGTTACATACCAAAAGCTTTTGAAAATAGTAAACGTATAAAATCCCTTTGAACTGCTATTACTGTGCCAGTTTTAAAACTGATCAAATTTGTTTATTGGTTTATTCCTTCTGACTATATTTGCTCTTACTCTGGCCATTTTTCAAAGTGCTCAGCGCTGTTTATAGATAGTTCCCAGTAAGATTGTCATCCCATCCAGGTAGTTGATGGTTGTTTGTTTCTGCAACAAAAGACAACACCCATCTTTTCCTGTGAATGAAGATGTGGGGCTAGTTAGGATCTTGCAAAACATTTCCCCATAGGGAAGGGTTTCCATATTCTTGTTCATCCACACACTTTTCTGGGCTCAGCCACCATTTCTGCCTAATTTGCCTCTTCGGGTCCTGGTAAAGCAGAGTTCTATAGATTCAATACACACCGTGTTTTGGAGAAAGGAGAGAAATAAACTAAATGAGCTTTGCTTCCTGCTCTTTCTTCAAAGGATCTAGCAATCTTGAGTGTTCTGAAAGAACAACCAACTTATTATTTCTGTGTAACTGGTGTGAACTTGGACGCTATTGCTCTTTTATGTCTGATCGCCTAAACTACATTTTAAATCAAAGAGATGATTTTTTTCATATCCAGCCATTAATAACCTATGAAGTGTCAATACATAAATATTATTAAAAAGAGTAAGATGAGTCAGGAAGGAACTTTCTGCTGATGTTGGAAGGGCATATATAGTTGTTCCT